ATATAATGTATAATGTAGGAGGAATCGATTCATCCCTCTTCTAACTCAACTTTACCACTTATCATCATATGTGTGATGCTGTCGTGACAAGTTTCGATTAACATTTAAATTTGATTGCTTCAATGAGAACTGTTTATTTTTCAGTGTTTTAATTTTGCTTCACTTTAACTAGCTAACAAATGTTTTCGCAATATAATTTATCGTTTTTAGAATATTAAACTAACAAATTTCACGTTTGCTAAATATAACACACTATTAGTAGCACTGATAGATAGGTGATAATGACAGGCTTTATTGATAAAGCTCATCATTATCTATGGAAAAATTTGTTAAATTCCTAGATAATGATATAGGCTTTATTAATAATGATAGGAAAATTTGATAATGATAGGAATTTTGTTAAAACAATAAATTTTGTTAAAAATTTTGTCGGATAAATTATTTTGAGAAAATATTAATCGAGTAAATTATGAGAGTTTTAAAGTTTACATGAAATTTTCAATAATTCTTTTTCCTTTCTTTTTTTTTCTTTTGTTTTTTCAATGGAACTGTTTTGAGAAGTTGTTTTTGCTTAATGACATAAATCAANTGAAAATCAAAAATTGCTTGTTGGAATGACAAATGATAGGAAATGATAAATTGAAAAATTCAATTAGAAATGGAATTAGCACGGAAATTTCGAAATTTATGGATTTTTTATAAAATGATGCATTTGTTTTTTTTCCAGCTCAAATTCGTTTAATTTATTTCGAAATTTTCAAGTTGGATTTTTTTTTAAAATTCGGTTTTATGAATTTCAAGTTATTATGTGCTATTTAGAAATATCGTGCTGTTTGATGATAAGTGATAACTAAATGATAACATATTTCCCACTTAAATTGTTTCGGTTTTTTTTTGATCTGTAAAGTGATCAATGAGCAAGTGGATTTAAAAGTTAATCAGTGATGACCTTTTTTTTCATTGCTAAATCAACATCATTGCTAAATCATGATTTTTCATTCTACATGAGAGTGTAAAAAATTGATTTAAAAAAAAAAGAGAAATTTGTAAAAAAATTTTTTCTTCTTTGGTTGACTACATATAA